AGTAGCTGGGACCACAGGCGCCCGCCACAACGCCCGGCTATTTTTTGGTTGCAGCTGTCATTGTTGTTTGGCGGGTCCGGGCTGGGGATCCGAACCCGCCACCTTAGGTGTACGTGGCTGGCGCCTTAGCCGGTTGAGCCACAGGCGCCGAGCCTAGACTTTCTTTTTTAAATATCACAATGGAATTGGGAGTTTTGTTTATTCAGTATGTTATCAATTATATTATGGTAATTATTCTTTTCATTGTTCCTGTTGTCTTAAATTTAGCCAGTGGGAGTCTCTTCAAATGGGCTTCTGTGTCCTTTGGATACTGAGCCTACTTTGATTTGGGGTAAAAGATGTGCCAGGTTTACCCTATATTTTCCCTCCTTCAGTTGTGGAATTAGCCTTTTATCCAAGAAGCTATGGTTCCTTTTGATGGGGAAGGATATTTAGAGACCAAGATCAATATGCTCAAGTGATAGCAACTTTTAGCACTCCAGTTTTTTCTCTTTTCAAGTAAAATGCTTCATGTTCAAAAATAAAGTTGGCCTTATCACCACTGTAAATCACTTTCCAAAGATTTCATAGAGAAAAGCTAAGTGGTGGACAAAACAGGGAATTTTACTTTTCCAATATAATAAAGGAAATAATAGAAAATTTTTTCTTGTTTTCATATTGGGACTTTAATTACTAGTTTCTTATTATAACCAAATGTGGGAGGAAAGAATTTGAAAGGAAGAATCACCTTTTGTATGTATTTTTATACTAGAGCATTAGTTGTATATAATAGGATATGTTAAAAAAACTTATATTATGATTTGCTAAAGAATATCGGCCTAGGGGACCATGTTAAAGAAAAGCCTGGCAAACTACATAGGAATATGAAAAGCTTTCTTCATAAGTATGGCTCAAAATTATGTAGATGTTCCTTTTTTGAGTTTTGGATAGAGAATGCCTTTAAAAAAAATTCTGCTGATGGTATGAAACAATAGTAGCTATAGTTGGGAGGATGTGAGTTCTATGGAGAACTGTATGACAGTCATCCTAAGTCCCAAGCCAATGCTTGTGTGTGCCCAGAAATCCAATTGGCGATGTCAGAAACCTGCAGTGATCCACTTTGCTCAGCAGGCTGTGTGAGAAGCTGAATTTCAGTGTAGGGGATGGCTTTCTCTGGCATCTTCCATCTCTTTCTGCTTCTTTTTGCACCATCCAGCTGTGGCCTTAGGTGCATGCCAGAATCACTTGCTTCCCCTTCACGGTATCCCAGTCAGATAGCAGATCTCCTTTGTTAACTGACCCCCATTATGTCTAGGATCAAGATGTTCACAATGTGTTGTTCATACACCCCAGGATGTTTCCTTGAATAGAATGTAATTAATATATAATATATTATAAATGAACTTCATAATGGTAGAATTCTAGAAAGTGAAACAAAGTAAAGCAGTGTGGGAGAAGTGGGGATTTTGCCCAAATTATGCCAAGTTGATCTCTCCTTTGTAGAGGTGGGCTGGGCCCACCTTATTATACACTATTAAAATCTTTTTTTTTTTTTTTTGCAGTTTTGGCTGGGGCTGGGTTTGAACCTGCCACCTCCGGCATATGGGGCCAGCGCATTACTCCTTTGAGCCACAGGCTCTGCCCTACTATTAAAATCTTTTAAAATAGACTAAACACTGAAGGCACTCTCAGCTTATTTTATGAGTCATAATACTTTATTGGGACCTATAATAATTTTTAGGACTTGTTTTTCAGGTTAATGTGAAGGTACAACTAGGTCACAATATTTTAATTTCTTAGGTAGAGTCCCTCTTGTAGTTGTGTCCCACATACCAGAAGGTATGCCACATACCCCTACATTGTGTCCATTAAACAGGAGCACCCCAGATCCCCCTTGTTCCCTGCCCTCATTTTCCCTGCCCCCACTTTGAATTGAAAGGAGTTTCTCTCTTCTCTGAGTGTGAATTAGATCATCTACTGCAGCGGTTCTCAACCTGTGGGTCAAGACCCACAAGAACTGTGTTAAAGGGCCATGACATTAGGAAGGTTGAGAATCACTGATCTGCTGCCTTCATATTAGTATTGAGTACATTGGATATTTGCTTTTCCATTCCTGTAATACTTTATTGAGAAGAATGTGCTTCACCTTCATCCAGATTAATATAAAAGATGTGAAGTCACCATCTTTTTTATGGATAAATAGTATTCCTTGATATACATACGCCACAGTTTTTTAATCCATTCTTGAGTTGATAGGCATTTAGGTTGTTTCCAAGTGTTGGCAATTATAAATGGAGCTACAATAAACAATCTAGTCAAATAAAAATGTCTTTGTGATAAAAGGATTTTTTCTTCTTCCGGGTAGTGGGATTTCAGGAAGATCTAATTTGAGTTCTTTGAGGATTCTCCATACTTCTTTATAAAGTGGCTGTATTAGTTTGCATTCCCACCAACAGTGTAAAATTGTTCCCTTCTCTTTACATCCATGCCAGCACCTACAACTTGAGGTTTGTGATGTGTTCTAATCTTACTGGGGTTAGATGATATTTCAGGGTGGTTTTGACTTGCATTTCTCTTTTGATTGGGGACAATGAACATTTTTTCTTATGTTTCAGTGTTTGCTAGCCATTCATCTGTCATCCTCAGAGAAGGTTCTGTTTATGTCTCTTGCCCAGTGATAGATGGGATTGTTAGCTCTTTTTATTTTTGATTAATTGGAATTCTTTATAGATCCCAGTCGTCAGACCTTTGTCAGATTCATAACGTATAAATATCTTTTCCCATTCTGAATGTTGTCTATTTGCTTTCATTGTTATATCCTTAGCTGTACAGAAGCTTTTCAGT